GGGTGGGGGAGGGTGGGTGGGGGTGTTGCCCTTGTCGCGGCGTCAACGAGCTGGCAGCCGCCGCCCACGCACGCACGGCCGGCCATCCATCTTCCCTGGACGATTGATACGCTACAACCCCGATAAAACGAAAAGAAGTCAGGCTGGGCGACCCCCTCTGCAAAATTCACCCCGCACGCAACCCCCCATACAAACACCTACACTCTCTCGCACATGCACACACACACACACACTCACACACACACACACACTCTCTCTCTCTCTCTCTCTCTCTGTCTCTCTCACACTCATATACACAATCACACGCTCTCTTTTCCCCTCCACAAATGCACACCCACGCGCACCTGCTTCTGGTATGCCACAAACTCGGGGCTGGCGGCCTGCTTCAGCGCGCAGGCCAGGCCGCTGATGGTGTGGTTGTGGGGGCCGCCCTGCAGCCCGGGGAACACCGCAAAGTTGATCTTGTCCTCGATGTCGTAGAGGATCTGGGGGGGTTACGGCGGTTACGGCGGTTACGGCGGTTGCTTTGGGGGAGGAAGTGTGAGCGTTTCGGGCGGGTTTGAAATTTGGGACGATGATCTTGGACAGGGGCGCGCAGCGGGGCGGGCGGCGCCCCTGCGCTGCGCCGCGGCCGAGCAGGCGCGAGGGTTGAGGAGCAGTAGGGCGTTGCCACGCCGCAGGGGCGCGTTGTCGGGGCAGGAGGCTGCCAGGCACAAGCCCGCCGCAAAGCACGCTCCCCACCCCTTGGGAACATGCCCCCGCGGCGCCCGCGCCATTACCCGGGCCAAAACCCCAACCCACAAACCCCGCCAACCCCAAAAACCCTCCACCCTGCAACCCTGGGGAGCCCTAAGCCCCGGGGGACCGTCAACCCCAAAAAGCCCACCTCCTTGCCAGTCTTCTTGTCCACGCCGCGGGGGCCCTTCCTGTAAAAGATCATGGCACCCCTGGGGCCCCGCAGGCTCTTGTGGGTGGTGGTGGTCACGATGTCGGCGTAGTCAAAGGGGCTGGGCACCTGGGCGATTTTTTTGGCGGGAAAAGAGGATGGTGTGCAGTTGGGAGGTGCTGTTTGGAGTTGTGGAGCGAGGGGACGCGACAAGCGGCGTGCGGCGGGCCGTCCGTCAAACGGGTTCGAAGAGCATAAAAGTCGGTGCGGGGGCAGCGGGGACGCGCCGCCGGGGGTGCGGCTCGTGGTGCGGGGCATCGCCAGTTGGCCAGCTGGCGCGGTCCGGGGCCCCTCCGTGGGATGCGCAGCCCCCTCCCGCCCAGCCTGGTCCCGCGCGCCCGTCTCGCACGGGCAAGGCGAAAAACCACTCCGCAGCGCGCGCGCGGGCGCGGGGCGCCCCGGACAGCTCACCAGGCCGGCAGCCACCAGGCCGCTGATGTGCGCCATGTCAGCCAGCAGCCACGCCTGGATTTTGGAAGGCGGGGGAGATTGGGGGAGGGTTTGACCGTTTTGACCGTCCCCAGCGTCGCGAATTCAATGTCGGGGGACCTGTCACAGCCCCAGTAGTGACTACGCGCGCAGGCTGCCCTGGGCAAGTCAACCTCATACCCAACCCAGCAGCAGCGGCAGCCGCGCAAACCTTGCTCTTGTCCGCGAGCGCCCTCATGCGGGGGTAGTCGTAGTGGCGGGTGTACGCG